GCATATCAGACCAGTCTGGGTTATGTTGTTTAATCATGTATTGCAAACGCTGTGCTGTAGCTTCTGAGTCATCATGATAGTTTTTAGCAACTTTTTGCCATGATTCTAAATCGATACTTGAAAAGGGTGCTTTAACTATCACTGGCTCCCCATTTGGCCCTACTGCCTCCCTCAGAGGTGCTATTACTATCTGTTGTTGTCTAGTCCGAGATGCCACTGGACTGCTAGAGGGTGCCCTGCTGGGAGCTGATCTGCTATGGGATGCTCTGCTAAGTGTTGAGCTACTAAGGGCTGACCTACTAGGAGATGACCTGCTAAAGGATGCTCTGCTAGGTGATGAGCGGGCCTCTGGATCTGCATCCCTTTCTTCCTCTTCCTCCTCCTGTCTCTTAGGAGGGGGTGTCCATAAGTCTAATAGGTCTTGGTCCTGGGCCTCAGCTCAATATACCTTGTCCAATTTTATACACCTCTTCCCAATGCTACAGGCTGAGCAGCATCTCTTTAATTTCTCCTTCTTTCCTTTATTTTCTTTCTCTAGCGCTAGCACCAGGGGGTCACGGGATGCTCTAATCCCGCAATCTCTCCGCCATTCGGGATGATCTCGGAGGGAGAAGAACATATCGCAATACGAGACTTCACTCCACTTACCCTTCCTCCTCAAAAATAACATTAATTGCAGCAAAGTATCATAATCTAATGTCCCTGTGGGTGGCCACTTTACATCTTCATCTAGCCTGTATAAAGCCACCACTGATTACAGTATTTAATAAAGGTCGACTTATTTTCAGTACTTCCCGTCCCTGCAACTTCTTTCCAGTGTGCTATAATACAACCTAATGGGCTAGCTTTAGGAACCTCTATACTCTGCCCAGATCCCATTATCTCCTTCTTCGCGTCCTACTTTGCTCCTGTCCAAATTTTCCCCTCAAAACCTTACAGACACCCTCAATTGTTTCTCAAATGCAAATCAAAATTCTCACTCTGCCGCGATTATAATTTTTGACACAAGATGGCAGTGTGGTACCACAAATGAACTAAGAAGTTATGCACAACAGAAAACCAACAGAAACTACAATAAAACAATAAAATGCAGCAATAAGACAGCAATAAGACAGAACTCAACCACAAGGCAGCAATTAGACAACAACAAGCAACAGAAACTACAATGAAACAACAACAAAGCAGATCTCCTCCACTGGCTGTTCTCACTATGCAAACACAAACTTAACACGCTCAAATGCAAAGCATACCACACTTTTTATTTACGGTTCTATTATTAAAAACCACTATACTCACTTGCACCACACTCTACACAATTACCCAAGGATTAAATCGGGGTAGATAACTCCCCTCTCACTCTGTTCCCCAGACACGCCTTGCTCACCCCCGCTTCCACCACTCTCCGAATATCCAAATTTAAGCACACACACTACCTTTTAGCTCTGATTGCACAAGAGCCGGAATCCACTCAATCCATGTTATAGGATCGCTTTGCGGCTGCACTATCAATCAGCGATTTCATTCACCGGCCTCCCCCTCCTCCCTCCTCTTCCCCTAGACCAGTGGGGTTGGAGGAGCAGAGTGGGTCCTGCTAGTACCAAATCCTTTCCCCGGCTGCACTTATCAGCCACAAGCTTGCAAGCTTTCACCTTTCTAGGGACTATGTTGCACGCAGGACATCTCCTGCGATTTATCAACCCCCTTCAACCTTGCGTATGTACGTCTTACAACCCCCTTAAAGTTGATACATACCATTTTACCCGCGTGCTAGTAGCTCTTATCTGCAGCTGCAGTAAGCGAGCCAAAGTCAGATTCCTCATCTGGGAAACTCCCAGTGCACGCCTGGATTCCTCTGTTCCTTAGCACCATTCTTGCAGACAGACAGAAACCTCCTGGCTGGCTCCACCAAAATGATTTGCGGTAATAACTCCACAACCAAGGGTTGTAAAGTAGGTACATATTTTATTCAGCGCTGGACACAGGGGGGTATATCCTTCCCAAATCCTGTGTACCCCAGCCTCCTCAATCCCCTTATTTATTCACAAAAGTTATGCATATTCTATAGCGCCTATACATATTCAGTACCTATCTCCGCCCATTCTCCGCATAGTATGGAAATTAGCTGCGACTGGGTAGTTAATTCTTTTATTGAGTCACTGGTCTCAAAAATGAGGCTGGGGTCCGGTGGGACGAAGCTTCCATAATCTTCCCGATTATTGAACTTTCAAACTCAGATGTCTTCGCACGCGCAGTTGCCCTTTTGCTTTGCATTTTTAGCAAGCTCAACAATTTCCATCAGAGGCCCCCTTCTTTTTGCTGGCTCAGCATAATTTTAATAGGTAACAGGTTTTCTTCAGAGGGTCCCCGTACGTGTAGAATAATGTATACCATATGTTCATATATTTATTTCCTAAATAATTCTAAATTCCTTATTAACCCTTAAATCCCCCGTTTCACCCCACCCTCGACATTATATCAGACTGGAAACACTGATATCTTAGAGGTAATGTCCCATTCTCTGTCCTGGACTGCGTCCCTTCTTATCCTCTGCCAGGTATCTGTGCCTCCTGATAGATAAAACCTGTCCTCAAATTTAGGGGGGCTGCCCTGGGGGAAGTGTGAATCTCTCCTGTTGGGGATCAGGGCTTCTCCGATATGGGCACCGCCATTTTGGGGGGAGGTGACTTCCAGGAAGTCACATCCGGTACACACAGTAGGCAAGGTGAGGGCATGCCATCCAGGGATGTGGGTGGGGAGTAGGGGCAGGGATGCAGACCAGGCTCGGCCCACAAAAGGGGAGTGTCCCACGTCTGATGGACAGGAGCTTAATCACGGATTTTAAAGGGAGTTCTGTGAGTCAGAGGAGGATGGAACAAACCCACGAAGGGCAGACCTCGGCAGCTCCGAAACATGGCGGAGGCCATGTGGGCTATTGTCCTCACAGAGCATGGATTCGGCTCGGTTTTTTTCAATTGTGCTGCCAAAGTTCACCAATTTAGTGTGTCTGAGGTTACTTTTGAGAGGAAACCGAGGGGAGAGGTTAGGAGAGATGGGGTGCAGACTGGTCTGGCCAGGGGCAGTCTGTTTCCCTTGCGGCAGAGGGGGAGAGGGAGCTGGATGGGGAGCAGCTGTCCATGCCATCTTCTGCCCACCCTCCTGGGGTCGGTGTGATTCAGGGTGAGTTGAGGACAGGGTTGGGGTCTCAGAATGTCTGCCCAACCTCCTTTCTTTCTGCTGCAGCCTGCGGTTGGCTCTCTCTATGCTCTGAGGTATTTTGTGGCTGTCTCTAGCTTGCTTCTGAAACGAAAGATTTTCCAGAGATCACTTGAACTAACAAAATGAATGTATCAAAAATGAATGTATCAAAAATGAATGTATCATGTTTGTAGAATCTTAAGAAACCTCTGCACAAAAAGGCATAGGAAAGAAAAACAAAGATCTCTAAAGCTTCTTGCAAAAAGACAAATACCGGAAAGGACCAGGAATGCCAAGATTTCAGACAAGGAAGCCCTCTGTCTCCAACATGTCAAGGATGATGAACTTATCCAGATAGGAGAGCAAAGGACCAAAAGCGCAAGCGCAAAGGAGAAGAGTTCAAAAGTTCAATGCGGAGGAAGATGATGATTATAGTTCAAAGACCACCAGGGACCCTCATAAAAGCCCCCACAAAAAAACTACGCATGCCCAGAAGGGCGTGGACCTATTTAGCATGAGAAGCGAAGACAGGCGGGGCCAGGGGTTGAATATGCATAGAAAAGTTGTGTAATGTATTGCATATGGAACACCTTTGTGAATAAAGTGGGGGGGCAAACTTCAGCTCGGGGCACAAGATTTCGGAGAGTTATCTCACTTGTGCCGGGCGCCGACAATACATACCCACTTCATAACTACCTCGAGTTGTGGAGTCTATTTATTTATTCCGCATATCGCTTCACTTCTTACTTTCCAATGTTACAAATTGTAACACCATCTGAAATATTGGACATAGTTTTAGGCTGGATTTCTTATTCTTTTCCAAACTGTATAATCTTAGTCCCACAGCATCCCAGAACTTTAGAGTAAGCATCTCAGACATATTTAAGCTCAGGAATTCTGTGAAAACTCATCTTGAAATGAACAGGGTCTATGCCTTTATTAATAGTCAGCTCTTTATTAAAAAGCCAGCTCGGCAGGGGGCTCAACAAGGAGCTCGCCCCCGCTGTTGTAGCTTCTCCAGTAGCCGAAGGGTGAGCAGGCATGCAGAGTCTGTCCCTGGAGTCTCCGTGGCACGCTGGTAGCTGGAGGTGAAGTCTCAGCAGACCGTCCTCTCTCCTCTCCTTTCCTCCTGGCACTCTGGTAGCCGCAGGGTGGGGGGGATGTGCAGAGCCTGCTGCTGAAGACCAGCTGCAGCTATCCCTCTCTTTCCCTCCTGGTAACACCAGGAAGTGTGTGTCTCCTTTGCTCCTGCTTCCCACAGCCCAGTCCAGTCTGGTCCTCTGTAGGTTATGGTGACAGATCAGACACAGACTAGGGATGGGGTTCTCTTTTCCCCAACGAGCACACCCATCCAGCCCCCTCCACTGTGCCCATCTTTTCCATTTAGGGGTGATTTTCATCCCCCAAAACCCCCTCCCATGATTCCACTGGATTATTTTGCATCCCAGTCCTAGAATGGTAGTGAGGGTGTGTAATTTCTATAGTTTTCCCCCCCTCCACGCAGCCCCCCGAATGAATCCGACCAGCTCAGAGATATGGGGCTGTGAGGGGAGGGATACCAGGAGAGGGAAAAGTATTCAAAAGAGACTCTTACCCCAGGGAAGTTGGAACAGCTCTCTTTATTCTGTGGTGTCCATGGAGAGCGGGGCAAAAGAGAAAGAGCAGGAAGTTTCAGGGGTCTATATAGGTTTTGGACAGGGTGGGCTTTCCTGGCTCTCCGCCAACCCCGTTGGGGCAGGAAGGAGGATCCAGGGGTTATCATGATCAGAGCCACAGAGGCCCTAGGAAAGGGAGGCAAAAGGGTGTCCAGGAGCTCACCGTAACACCTCCCCCTTATTTGTTAAACAAGGTTACAGGAATTCACTGGGCTCAATTCAACTCTGAGTATGGGTCCCGAACACCAGGGTTACAAAGAACAGAATAACAAAGACTAACAAAATTAATCTAACAACAGATATCCACCACCCCGTGAATCCCCATCCCTTGAACATTCTCTTCAGCATTTGCAGGATGACAACTCGCATGGGGTTCATCATAGGGTTGAGTGGGAGGTAGGTTTTTTCTAAAAAGGAAAAACAAACATTTTAAGAACATGTTAAAGCTTCTGTTTCTGCCGGAAGGAATTCATGCCTAGGAACTTTCTTCTTCTCCCATCTGGCGGCGTCTTCTCTTTGAAGCATCAGATACTTGCTTCTTGTCCCCTTCTGTTCGACCTGGATTCTTGGGGACAAAAGGTTTCACCCACTTCTGGGGAATCCACCGAGGGCCTGAGGGAGTAGCTATACACGCATAGCCACGACCCCAGGTTACAAGTTCATAGGGACCCTTGGTCTCCCAAGTTTCTGGATCCCTAATCAAGACCGGTGGGTGCTGAGACAATTTGAACTGCTTGCCACTGTTAAAGTGATGCACAACCAGTGGACTCATATTTTCGAATGAACAATTCAGAAAATTGATGGTAAACATGGCTTTACAGAACTTTTCTCATGGAGACATCCACGGAGCTGATCTGTTTTGTTTTTTCAATACCTGTTTGAGCATCTGGTGTGCACGCTCGACTACAGCTTGACCTGTGGGGGAGTGGGCAATGCCAGTTTTATGTTCCACTCCCCACTGTTGGAGAAATTCCAAGAACTCCTTGGATACATACGCTGGGCCATTACCTGTTTTGATCGTTTTTGGCACCCCCAATACTGAAAATGCTTGCACTAGGTGTTGTTTGACATGTGCAGCCTTTTGTCCTATATGGGCAGAGGCATACACTGCACCTGAGAATGTGTCCACGCTTACATGAATGCATTCAAGGCGACCAAAACTCTGAATGCGTGTGATGTCTGTCTGCCATACCTCACAGCTGCTAAGGCCTCTGGGGTTTACCCCCATGCCCAACGATGGCACAGCCAGGAGCTGACAATTAGGACAGTTGGGCACAATGGCTCGGGCCTGACTCCGTGTTAGCTGGAACTGTCGAATCAAACCTGGTACATTCTGGTGGTAATGCTCATGACTCAGCTTTGCCTGTTGGAAAACATCAGGGAGACTTGCCTTTTCAACTGGTGCAGCGAAGGAGTCTGCTTTTCGGTTCCCCTCTGCAATCTCACCTGGCAAATCAGTGTGTGACCTCACATGCATCACAAAGAATGGATGCTCTCGGTGCGAGATTAAATAAATTAGCCTTGAGAGTAACCTGAAGAGATGTTCATTTTCTATTTCTCTGAGCACAGCCTGCTCCGCCCTGGACACTATACCTGCCATATAGGCAGAGTCTGTCACCAAGTTGAACGGCTCGGAAAACTTCTCAAAAGCTCTCACCACTGCAGCCAGTTCAGCCACCTGGGGGGATCCCTCCACAAGCTCAACATCAGCTTCCCAAAGCTGAGTCTGTGGATTTCTCCAAGTCATCACCGACTTGTGGGAAGCCCCAGAGGCATCAGTGAACACTGTGAGAGCCCTGAGTGCCCTCCGGCTCCTTTTCTCTTGAGGAATAAGGTGGAATTCCTCATTGAACAACTTGTGAGACGGGGCATGGGCTGATATTTGTCCCCTATAGCTGTCCAGAGATAGCTGGAGACTGGCACTGCTCTGGAGCAAATGCTCAAACATCCCTTTGGTCAGTCTCTCAGGAGAGTTCCTTCCCTCCTCAGAAAGCCTGACTGGAAGGTGAATACATGCAAAGTCACACCCTGCTAATTCACACAACCTCACCCTGGCCTTCTGAATCAGCTTTGCTATCAGCTCTTGTGGCCTAGTGATGGTTCTGGATCTTTGGAGCGATAGGAAAACCCATTCTATGATTAAGAGTGGGTCCTTCTGCCCCTTGATCCATTGGAAAATCAACCCATGCAGGTGTGGCAGCTTTCCTAGAACAATGAACTGGAAAGGCACGTTTGTGTCACACCGATGTGCCTGCCTCTCTGACAAGGCCTTCTGTACCTTTTCGATTGCTGTCTTTGCCTCCGGAGTCAGTTCCCTGGGGGAGGCCAGCTCCCTCTCCCCCTTCAATAAATTGAAAAGAGGTTCCAGATCTTCATTTGTGAGGCCTAGCCAGAGCTTTACCCAATTTAAAGACCCACACAATGAGTGGAGGTCTGCTAATGTTCTGGGGTTGCAATTTATCTCCAATTTCTGTGGGACAATAGTCCTTGCAGAAATTTCCAGGTCCAGGTATCTCCAAGGTGGCATTCTTTGAACCTTGTTTTCCTGCAATTGGAATCCAGCAGAGGTTAAAACTTTAACCACTAGGTCAAGTGTGTATTGGAGTATAGAGTCATTGGGGGCTCACACAAGCGCATCATCCATGTAGTGCAGGATGATGGCATCCTTTCTCTCTGCACGTACTGGAGACAGTAGCGCTGCCACATACTGTTGGCATATGAAAGGGCTGGATTGTTAACCTTGGGGCAAAACTTTCCAGTGGTAGCATTTCATCGGGGCTTCTCTATTGACAGTAGGAACTGAGAATGCAAACCTCGGGGCATCTTCAGGGTGCAATGGAATTTGGAAGAAACAGTCCTTTATATCTAACACAGCCAATTTCCAGTCCTGGGGAAGCATAGCTGGACTCGGCATCCCTGGCTGGAGAGTTCCCATGTCCTCCACAATTTTGTCCTTCCCAGGCTTTTTTATTACAAAGACTGGGAAATTCCAAGGGCTGTCTATCTCTTGCAGGTGTTCTTGAGCTACCTGCTCCTCCACAAGTTTTTCAAGCGCCTTGAGTTTTTCTCTACTCAAAGGCCACTGTGCTACCCACTTTGGGGTGTTATCCAACCACTTTAACTTGTGGGTGCAGCGCTCCACAGTGGCTACTTCCGAAAATCCTGGGGTGTCTTAGGAATGATTAACTGGACTCCCCACTGGGACATGGTGTCTTTCCCCCACAGAGGAGCTTTATAGTCTGCCACAAATGGGTTAACACTTGCCGATTTCCCGTCAGGTCCCTCAATTTGCACTACATTTTTAGAAATTTTTGCCAATGTAGTTCCTCCTATACCCTGAAGTTTTCCTGCCACAGGTTGCAATTCCCAGTGTGATGGCCACATAGTTTTGGGTATCACCGTGATGTCTGCACCTGTGTCCAGAACACCTTCCACCTGAAGGTGCTCTGACCCATGTGCTAGGTTGCATGCCATGGAGGGTTTATCCTCTCCTACTACTTCTGCCCAGTAGACTTCTGGAGATTTTCCTTCTACTGTGATTCCTACTGGGATGGGAATGGCTTGTGCCAGGATTTGCCCCTTTTCTAGATAGAATGGAGGGTGCAAGCAACGTGCCAACAGCATAAGGCTGGATATTTTTCCCTTAGTAGTCATGGGAACTATTTCAATCTCTGGAGGTGTGTATGCTGTGTCCCCAATAACAAAATACTCACTGTCCAGTTCCATATCGTACGCCTTCAGGTCTTGTGGGTTCTTTGATAGGTCCACTACAATGACTTTCCAATCAGTGGTTCTGAAATGAAATCCTTTGTCAGTCACTAGACGAGGTCGGCCTAGTGGCTGCCAAACCTTGTTAGTAATACATTTTACATTTTTGTTTTTCTCTCCCCCCCCACCATGGTTCCCACCCTCCCCCTTATTTGTTAAGAGAGAGGCATTGTCACATTTTGGTCCGACTACATTTATATCTTTGCGCGTAGCGGTGGGCACGCCCTGTGCATTTAGGTTTTTTGTTTGTTGATCTGTCTCTGGTTCTGGTTTTGAGGACAGTTTCTGGCAAAGTGTCCTGGTTTCTTGCAACACAGGCAGATGATGTGCTGCAGCTGTTGTGATGATCTGGGTGGCTTCCTTGGGCTTGATGCAGCAGTGGCAAGAGGCTGTAATTCTGCTGGTGCTCTATGACTGACAGGATTATCAAGCAGCTCTGCTCTCTTGGCGCATGCTTCAATCATTTGGGCAAGACTCGGTGCTTGATCAAGAGGAAGGCTGAGAAGAATCCTACGACAGGTCTCATTGGCATTCCTCTGAGCCATTTCTTTAATCAACTCTGATTGTACTTTGGCGTCTTGCACCTGTTTTTCGACTTGGCTTCTCAAACGATCCACAAACTGTAAAAAACTCTCAGAAGGAAACTGTTTGATGTTAATATAACTGCATTCAACCTCAGAGCCTGGTAATTGATACAGAGTCTTTTCTGCAGCAATACAGATTTTTTCCAAGACCGATCTAGATAACAGTCTGGTTTGTTTTTCTGGACATTGTATGTCTCCTGTACCACATAAATTATGTATTGTAATGGGCTGACCATCACTGTCAATGGCCGCACTGGGTGTATGCTGTATTTCTTGCAAAACTGTTTCCAAAGCCAATTTCCACCCCTTTTCCCATATTTCATATTCAAAGGATGTTAGTAAACATTTAAACAAATCAGTTATATCTTTTGGTACCATTTCATTTGAATTGAAGGTTGCTCTAATCATACCTTTAAAAATCTCACTAGACCTCCCAAATTCTCTCTGAACTTTACAGATTTCTGTTTTGTCTCTGTATGGGAGAGGTTGGTATGTTCTGGTACCATTTCTTCTCCCTAAATAAACCACTGGAGCTACAGATGGTATAGAGTCCTCGGTAGAGGCAGGGTTGTGTCCCCCCCGCCCTCCCCCCACCCCGGTGAGAGGCAGCTCGCACTCGTCCCAGGCTGCCTGCCCCGCAGTGCAAACTTGGGCCCCGCCCCGGCTCTGAGCCGCTGGGCTGCTGTCCCCTGCCCCCGCCCTGCTGTCGTCAGCGCTGGGGCGTGGAGCTGTGCAGGGGCCGGCCCCGCCCCTGTTCCCGGGGCAACACGGGGGCTGGCACTGATAAGGAGGGTGGGGTGTTGCTGTGGAAGATAAGGAAGCCTCGGAGGAGGGGAGGGAGGAGGGGGTGGGGGCGGAGGGGGAGGTGGAGGGCGGGGGAAGCAAAGGAATGCGAGTGGGAGGGGGAGTGGGGGGTGGTGGAGCCGCCGGTCCGAGCACATGGCCGCCGCCATTATCCGGCCGCGTGTGCTCCAGAGACACTGCAGTGCTCCCTAACATGAACTCCGGACTATATTTCTCGGAAAAGCAAGGTGTTATAGGGGGATAAGGGGTGGGTGAGGGGTTTTCAGGGCTGGGATATTAAGGAGGTGGGCAGGAGGGGGAAAAGGGAGTATTAGAACTGTGGGTCTGCGTTTGTGTGCTTTTTTCTGCTTCTAAAATCTTTTTGCGTGCTTGTAAAAATATCGGAATAAATCGAGAAAACTTATGTTCACCATTTTCGACTTTTAAAGTTAATATCTGTCCAATTTGATTCCAAAAAGAAAGCGAATTCAGTTCTTGCACAGTAAAATTTTGTATTTCTGCTTTTAGCCAGCACACAAAACGCAGGAGAAGCTTGTTAGAGAATGATACATCATTTAAATTATTCCTAAGATGTGTTAGTATACTCTTTTGTTCCACTGAAAGGTTTGTACCCATGATCTTAATCCTATCACTGGTCTACTCTCCACCAGAGCTAATAACACAGCACGAATTATTCAAATTTCCCTCCGTGGGAATACGAGCGGGGGGGGGCACAGGGGGAGGGGCGCTCGTCCCGCCGCTTGCCGGGACGGCTCCAGCCCGCTCCTCCCGTGTCTTTTTCCCCTGGAACGTGGGTATGCGCAGCCCACTGGTTCCCCGCTGACTTGCAGAGAGCCCCTGGCACCCCCTCTCGCAAGCAGCCTCCCGCAGTCACTATTGTAACTTCTCCCAGCCAGGCGTGGTCCCGGGTGCCGCGAACGGAGAGCTCACCAAGCCTGTGAACTGCAGGGTTCGTCTGTGAAACCCTCTGGGGGTTCCCTCTCCAGTCGGCTCTTCCTGGGGTACTCAGGCAGAGGTCCCCGACTGTCCCTGTCACTCAAAGCTTTTAAAGGCAGCTAGAGTACCAGGGCAGTTGACTGTCCCAAAAGCTTTTGACTTCCACCGAAATAGGGGGTCCAGCTTCTTCGTGGGCTCAGAGCAGCACACGTTTGGGCGCCAACTGTAATTTCTATAGTTTCCCCCCCTCCACGCAGCCCCCCGAATGAATCCGACCAGCTCAGAGATATGGGGCTGTGAGGGGAGGAAAACCATGGAGAGGGAAAAGTATTCAAAAGAGGCTCTTACCCCAGGGAAGTTGGAACAGCTCTCTTTATTCTGTGGTGTCCATGGAGAGCAGGGCAAAAGAGAAAGAGCAGGAAGTTTCAGGGGTCTATATAGGTTTTGGACAGGGTGGGCTTTCCTGGCTCTCCGCCAACCCCGTTGGGGCAGGAAGGAGGATCCAGGGGTTATCATGATCAGAGCCACAGAGGCCCTAGGAAAGGGGGGCAAAAGGGTGTCCAGGAGCTCACCGTAACAAGGGTGGGGGGAGGTAGGTGATTCCCAGGAACAATTAGCTAATTAACATTTCAATGTCAGTACTTAGCCCAAGCCAAGTGTACCAGCCAGGCTGTTTTGTTCATAACAGGTGGGACCTTTTGGCCTCTGTCCAATTGGGTAGCCCCAGGTTTGAGGTGAAGTCCCAAAGGTCTTATGAGGTGTCTTTTTACCAAATTGAGGAGAGAAACTTCTGGGTGTTTTTCCTCTTTAAGCAGACAAAGAATAATTTGGTCACTCCATGAATGGGGGGCGCATTCCTACATTCTTGTATTAATCCCATCAGGCTTCATAAATTCATTAGGATCCAGCTGGCCCATCAGGTCCTTCAAAACTTCAGGGTCAACTGGGAGTTGATAATTCTCATGGCCATGGTCCTCCAGGTCAGAGAACTGGGACCCGTTTAGTCAATCATTGGTGTTGAAGACAGAGGCAAAGAAAGCATTAAACATATCTGCCTTGTCCATGTCCCTGTTTCTGAGGTGACCATCTGTCCTAGGATGACATTATGATGCATGTATCCCCAATCATCTGTTCTTTTTATGCTGGATATTATATTCTGTGCCTTCAAGACGGGCTCTGAGTAAAGACGGGGAGAAGAAGCATGGAGTTTTGTTATCAGCCTCACTCACTCCTCCACAGTCTGCTGGAACACAGAACTCCACTGTATTGTCTGGGCACAGATGGGGCAGAACACTGTGCTCCTTTGCTTTTTAGTTAGTTTAGCTAGCTGAGGCAGTCCAAGTGTTCCCTGGACTGGTTTTCTTTCCCTTTTCTTGGAACCATTCGAACCTGTTCCGGACTGGGATCTGGGGAATCACCGAGAGCTTGCACCTTGTGGCCTACCGGGGCTTACTCTGGGCAGCAGCCTTTCCCAGTGCCGGAGGGACTGATAACAGAGCGACCACCACCAGAGAAATTTTCTGAATTTGTCATCTCTTCAGAGCAACGAATGAGTTTTGTCACCTGGTATTGTTCATTTTGTGTGCTGGGGAGTGCTTTTCCTTTAAAAATAAACAGGTTTCTTTCCACATCTCTCAGAGGAAATTTTCCCGAACCAGTTGGAGGGAGAGTCCGTGTGCATTGGCTTTCTGAGGGGACCCCATTTGGAGGTTTTTTCCCAAATTTTCCTTAATTCAGGACAGCATCCTCATCCTGTAATGGGCTGATGTACTTTCTGCACTGCGTATTTCCACTAATGTATTTTAAAAAAACCACTTTATTGTCCCCCCCAGTTCTGGCAGCTTCAACTCCAACTGAGCTTTGGTTGCTCAAATCTCCCTACAGTGGTGAACAGCACCCTTTTATTCTTCCCATGTTACCTGACCTTGCTTCCACTTGGCATACACCTTCCTTTTTGGCCTTAGCTCCAGAGGAAGTTCTCTGTTTAGCCAAACCAGCATTCTGCCTCACCTGCTTGTCTTCTGACATTTGGGAATTGCCTGCTTCTGTGCCCTTAACAGGTGGTGTTTATAAGTGACCAGCACTGATGGACCCAGCACCTTCAAAAGCATTTTCCATGGGGACCTTACTCACTAATTCCCTGAGCAGCCTGAAGTCTGCTCTCGTCATGTCCAGAGTTGAGGTTTTGCTGGCACTTTTCCTTCTCTCAACAGAGATTTTAAAATCGATCACTTTGTGGTTACTGTGGCCAAGACAACTGCCAATCTCTACTTCTCTCACAAGACCCTCTTTGTTTACAAGCAACAAATCAAGGAAGGCATCTTTCCTAGTTAGGTTTCTTAGTACTTGTTCCATAAAGTTGTCATCCAGGTTTCTTAGGAATCTTCTGGAATTGTTTGTACCATCTATGTGGTGTTCCCAGTTAACATCAAGCATTTTGAATTCCCCCATAAAGACAAGGGCAGTTGAACATTTAGAGGTTTCTTAGTTCCTCAAAGGATAATTCATTGCTATCATTGTCCTGGCTAGGAGATCTATACTAGACTCCCACAATGACATCTGCATTATTTGGTTGTCCCTTAATCCTTACCCAGATGCTCTCAACTGCACTATTGCCATCTGTAAGCTCCATATGTTCCAGCCCCTACAATACACACAACTCCACCCTCTTCCCCCCACCTTGCCTGCCCTGCCCATCCCTCCTGAAGAGCCTGTAACTGTCCAACATGGCATTCCAGTCACAGGACTCATCACACCAAGCTTCACTTATGCCAGTGATATAAAATCTCTGGGTCTGGGCTGTCATGGTTTGTTATTGGCCAAACGCTAGGCACCTACAAAAGTAATTTGTTCATTCTCTTCTGTTATAGTTGGGCAGGAGAGAGGGAAAAAAAGTTAACAAAGGGCTCATGAGTTGAGATAAGGACTGTGAGAAAAACACTTTAAGGGCAAAAGAGGTTCAAATTTAAGGGTATAAGGTAAATTTATTATTAACAGAGTCAGAGGAGGATAATGAGAAGTAAAATAAGCTTTTAAAACACTTTTTTTTCCCTCCTAGCCCCTGTCTCTTTCTCACCGACAGTGCGGGGAGACAGTGCATGGGGTTTTTGGTTAGTTTGTCACTCGAGATTTTCTTTTTGTTCACTCAGGGAGGGGAGTCTTTTCTCTGGTATGCTGTGGGTTCCCTCCCATGGGCAAACAGTTTTTTCAAAACTGTTGTGGCGTGGTCACTTATCCACGGGGTGCAGTCTTTTAAGGATAGGCTGCTCTAGTTTGGGAGCAAGGGCTTTCTTTCCCTATCTCTGGAAGCAGGGGCCCTCTCTCTCTATTTGGATTTCCTACTGGATCACAGCTTTCTCTAGCATCTACACGCTCCGGCATGAGCACTTCTCTCACGGGCTGTGAGTGGATTTCTGCATCCCCCATGGACTTAATGGATTATAGGGGGATAGTTTATTTCACTATGGTCTTCATTATGGCTTGCAGAGGAATCTTGGCTCTGACACTTGGAGCATTTCTTCCCCCTCTTTCTTTTCCACTGACCTTGGTACTGTCATGCTGTTTTTCCTCATGTCTTCACTTTCTCTTCTTCTCTGACGAGAAGAAAAAAATTCTGCTCATAGGTATCATTGCCAACAAGTTCTACTACTTCAAAAATTCCTACAGCATCCCGCAGCACCAAGAGGTTGATTTTGTCTAGGTTTCACACCAGAGAGTCACTTGCCATGTTTGTGCTGCCAACCATGCAGTCCCACTGCCACCAAGTGGGTAGTGGTGACTGCCACGGCACTGGCACTATTTAACACCTCTCTTCATGTGGGGTGATGGGAAGGAGAAGATGTCCCTGCCGCCCCTGCCCTTCTGCCCGTGGCATGGCTGGCTAGGGGCAGCCAGGCAGACAAGGCTCACCACAGGCCACACCAGGATGCTGGCGGCTGCAGCAGCCCATCACTGCACTGCAGGCTGTGCTGGGATGGCCCAGGTGGCAGTGCCTCACCACCCCTGGAAAAAAAAACATGCACGCTCTGTTTTGATTTTCTTCTTAAATATGTAATCACAGAGGTGTTACCAACCTCTCTAATTGGGCCAGCAGCATGTCTATCTTTAGAGCCATCAAAGATTGGCTCTGTCAGACATGGTGGAACCTTCTAGCAGCTTCTCACAGAAGCCACTTCTGTGCCCTCTCCACTACCAAAAACTAGGCTGTGCCAAATCAACACAGGGCCAAAGCTTTGAGCCCGTCTTGTTTGTTCCTCATGCTTCATGTGTTGGTATAGAAACACTTCAGGTGTGGTTTATTGTAGCTGACACCTTATGGAGCCGATTGGCCGATTGAGGGATCTCACTAGTGCTCACCTCGTCATGTTTTGGTACACCGTCCCACTGTCACTGTCACGCCTGGTTTCATCCCTTTCCCCTTCCAATCTAGTTTAAAGCCTCACTAGTTCCTGTGCTAGAACCATTTTTCCCCTCTGAGATAGGTGCATCTCATCAGGTGTCAGTAGATCAGGTGTTGAGTAATCACCCCATGGTCATAAAACCCAAAATTTTTTCGATGACACCAGCCTGGGAGCCATGTGTTGATCGGATGGATCTGCCTGTTCCTTTCTATATTATACCTTGCTACTGGAAGGATCAAGGAAAAGACTACCTTTGCTCTCAATCTTTCAACCAGTTGTCCCTAGTCCCTGAAATCCCTTTTGATTGACCTTGGACTTCTCTTTGTTATCTCATCACTACTGACTTGAAGAACCTATAACAGATAATAATCAGAGGACATTATTAGACTGGAGAGTTTTCCAGTAATGTCCCTTACCCAAGCCCCTGAGAGGCAGCAGACTTCCCTGTGGGTTGTATCTGGTTTGCATATTGGGCCCTCTGCTCGCCTTAGAAGGGAGTTATGTATGACAACTACCTTTCTTCTCTTAACAGAGGTGGTCATGATGCAGGGGGTATATTGTGTTGCCCTAGGTGGCCCCTCTATCCCAGAAGGACCTTCCTTCACCTCATCACTTGACTGTCCTGGTTCCAGGGCTTCATACCTGTTGTAAAAAGTGCCAGTCCTACTTGTCACTGTCAAGTTTTCAGGCAGAGGAGCCTTCCTTCGAGTGTGGACAGTGACCAGCTTCCAGCCTTCCTGTTCAACAGACCATTGACTAGCTACTTCACAGGGTTCCAGGCTGTCCTGGTTCTGTCCAGGAGTGGCATGGCTAGGACCTGGAGGTTATTCTATACCACTTCATGTCATTATCGGGGTGGAAGGAAGGGAGTCTCTTCCAGGGTCAGCATAGTTTGGCAGAGAGAGTGATTGGATATTGTCTATTGTCAGGGGGTTTCCATGTTTTCTTGTTCTGGTTCCAACCAGGACAGGGTTAATTTTTTGCAGTAGCTGGGGTGGGGTGCAGCTAGG